TTAAATCGATGTTATCCTGTGTCTATCAAAATATTTGCACGGTATTCATTTTAGAATTATTTTTCAGATTAAGTTCGAATTGTAACAGAAACATTAATGCGACTTAAAACCGGAAGGCAGCACGACCATTTCTTTTCTTTATTTCAGGTAAAAATTATTTTAAATTCACAAACATGTGAATTTAAAAGCTTTTTCAACTTAGGGTTTGAAATAAAAGAGTATAAACTAATAAATAAATAAAACATAAAAAGTTTTAAATTATATCATCAATATAGAAATAGAAAATAAATTATTTTAAATTATAACATTGGCCGCTAATGTGCAAACAAGACCTTCACAGAATACAAATTTCGTTTAGAAGAAAGGAAAACTAGGGCTCATACCTGTATGAATCATTTTTTCGCATATCATTGAATGAATGCTATAGCTGAATGCCTTTATTTTATTTTTAAATTAAATACGCAATATGAACAAGAAGTATAACTTTTAAAAATTTTTACTTAAATTTTTGTTTCAAACAATTTTGCTTTCAAAACTTAATTTTTCCTTGCTTAAATTTCAATACTCAATTTTTAAGCAAGGATGATTTTTACCCAAACATGAACCTATTTCTTATCCTGGTACTCTCTAAAGAATATGGGGTAAAACTTTTGTTTATGCTCTCTGCACAAAAAAAAAGGGACACTTCTATACCCCGTTCTACTGGGCCGATTAACGAAATTTAAGTTACGTTTTCCATGCCTCGAAGCGCGACTTAGGATATATATTAGATTTATATATCAATATTCATACATAGATATTTTGACACAAAAATCGAACTTTTTTTGAAATGACATAATGATTTTTTTCCGTTTGTCGATGCTAAGTCTCAAATTACGTCAAAGTGCCAGGTTTTTGTTAAACTTGCAAAACAGGTTTTGTAAAAGTTTTTTTTTAAATTTTCTCTTAAAGTTTTAGCTCCTCAGTGTTAATTGAATTTGTGATAAATTTTTTAATGTCTCTTTTTATTATTTATTAAACTTACTTGATTCCTTTTTCACAGTTCAGTCCCAAAAAGGCTAGAAGATATTTTGTGATTTATTTTTGAAATTTATATTTTTTGCTAATTTTTATACGTTTTTCGAAAACGTTTTGAATTATAACTAAAATTTTTTGTCATCATCTTCAAGTAGATGTATTTTTAGGCATACCAACAAACAATAGTTCTTAGTTCTAAATTTTTCAAAATATACATGAATTTATATAATGGCATATTTTGGAATTTGACGTATTTTTTAAAAAATGATAATACCTCAGAAGAGGCTTACGCACTTTGTTAAAATTATTTGAAAGAATGAACCATGCACCTTTTTTTCCCGTTCATGCTCAATGAAAGGGAAAAGAAAGTAGGTTTCCATAAATTAAAAATTTCGCCAAGTGAAGTATTCTTGGCGCAAACTGAAAAAAGTGTGCCACGATAAATTTTTAAATTTTTCTGTAAGTTTCTCATCAAATTTTATAAAATTTAATATTTCGGCAAAATTTGAGCAGTATAATCAAAGTATGGAAAAAGTCAATATGTCATTTCAGAAAAATCTGATTTTATATTGAAATACCTATGTTGTAACAATGTTGCATATAAATCTAATAAGTATCCTAAGTCGCGCTTTCGAGACATGAAGAACGGAAATTAAATTTCGTCAATCGGCCCAGTAGAACAGGATATATGGATTTGTCCTATTTTTATTTGTGCAGAGCAGAGTGTACGTTGAAAGAAAAATTATTCGCTTAAGATCACTACATGAAGTGTGCTGCTACAAATAATTTTATTGCATATAAAACCTCTATAACATATATAATTTAAATATATAAAGCTGTAGTTTTATTTTCAATCATCTTAAAAAATGCAGGGTAATCCTACATGTCAGTTTGTTTTATATTTAGGTTCAATATACCATTTTATTTTTTAAGAATTTCCAAAAAATACTGCCAAAAATGTTAAAAATATATTTTTGCTAAAACGGTATTTTTAAATATAAACTTTCGTACATTTCAAAGTAATATTTGCGTAATTTTAAGTGATAAATCCGAATTTAAGGCACGAATAATGAGATACACCCTGTATAGACGTTTCTCTGCACATCGCTTTTGTTAATCAAAGAAACAGTTTTACAGGAAAAGGCTTTTCGTTTAGCGACTGAATTTTTCAATGTGTATTTTCGTTGTATTTCCATAACACTGTTTAACATATATTTTACAAAATAAAAAAACTATATATTGTTTACAATTATATTACTGGTAGATATTACATGTCAAATTTTTCTGATTTCTTGTTTATAATACCTCAACAACAACATCTGCGAAATATTCGTTTTGATAAACAGTCAAAAGTTTTCTGATTTCGGAGGGAAAAAAAAATTTATAATCGTAAAATTTAAAATAGAGATATTATTTATTTTATTTCATTTACTTATTATTTATTTTTATTTACTAGTGTATATTAGCCAGTTAAAGGTGAATTTATTATTGAATAGTTTAGCTTATTTATTGATATTCGTATCATTATACAATAGAAATGAAAATTACATTTGGAAGAATAAAATGTTTTTTTTTCCTATTAAATATTCCCACAATGCATTTTGTTGCAGAATTTGAATTCCATGAATTCCTTATATATATTTTTTATGGAGAGATACTTCTAAAGAATAAAACGCACTTTTTGAGAATTCTGAACCTCAAACTAAGATATCCATTTTTAATTAATAAAAACTAAATATAAATTATAAAACATTTTATTATTAAATAAAATATTTGCACTCGGAAAAGAACAAATATTAACGTGAAGCAACACGCTGAATGACGATTTTTGGAAGAGTTAAAACAACAAGAATCAACGCAATATTAATAAATTTGCAGCATTAGTTTCGAAGGTAGTACCTTTCTCTTCAGAAGGTAGTACCTTTCTCTTCTTTCGAAATATAGTACCTTTCTCTTCAGCTGTAGAAGTGCAAATGACGAAAGAGAAGCCAATGATAAGATAAGAAAAGATAATGTAAGCGATAAGAATGAGATGAATGAAATCAAGAAATTGTCCTCTCAAGAAAAATTTGCTTCGAAATTTGACATCGTTACCAAAAATAGACATAAAAAAAAATGAGATTTAACAAAAATATATTTTTTAACGAATTTTATCGTTAGTAAAGTTCAGGTATGAGATAAAATTTTAGCTTTTGTAGAGTTTTTTTTTTTTTTTTTTTTTTTTTTTTTTTTTTTTACTATTACATAGAAATTTAACAAAATATTTTTTTTTCTTAAATGTTATCTTTAGTAAAGTTTAGGAATTAGATTTTAATTAAATCAGGCTGTACCTTTCAAAATTAATTTAAATATACCTCAGCTGATACATAACCTTTTTACTTAAAACAAGAAAAAAGGTAGAAAATGTGGTGAAAACAGCGGCCGTGGGATGGTAATTTCGCGTTTTTGGCATGGTGTCGATTTTATATTGCGCACCTTTAAAAATTATTTGAAACGGATAGTTGCTATTAAAAAGCTATCAAATTAATATAAAAATTAAGTTGTTTATGATTTAATCGTAACCTTTGAGCAAGGAAAAGAATTATCAGATAGTCCATTGTTTCATTACAAATATCAATTTTAAATAACTTCGAATCCAAATTTTATAACTGCATAGAATTTTAGCATTCATTTCAAATTATAGCAATAAAATGAAATTTTGAAAAGAAAGAGTCATTTAAAGAATTATGGCATGAATGTATTCAAAATGTTTATTAAACCAGAGCTATGTAAACATTTTATTTATAATTTTATTTAACTGCCTGATAGTAAGTTTTATTTTTTTAAAGTAAAATTATTCTGTTTAAATCAATACTTAAAAATCATAATATTAAAATATTTACTGAAAATTTTTGTTAGTAGGGAGTGTGGATTATTATTATTTTAGAATAATTATCCTAGAGATTATGGACAATTGTGTATATGCTCTAAAAATTAAGTTTCCAAACGAGAAAGAGAGGAAATAAAGAAAATATATCTTACTTTATACAATTTAATAATTGTATATGAGTATTATTCAACCACGAAGGGCTTACAAATGAATGAAAAGTACGTAATTTTACGTTTTTTCGCAAATGAGATGTAATTATAATTCTCTATAAAAAAGTTATAAAATTGTTTCATAGAATAAATTGAATTAATTAAATAAATACAAATTTAATTAACTAATTCTTTGCGCCATTGCTGCAAGGAAGGAAATTTAAATTTAAAACAAATTTAAAATTTAAATTTTAACAACACGTATAAAAGTGAAAAAGCAAAATTAAAGCCAAAATTAAATTTAAAAGCCAAAATAATTTTTAAAAAAATATTTAAAAAAATGTGCAAACATATAAAAGTACTTTAAATTTAATTTTGGCTAAAATTTAAATTTAAATTTGTTTAAATGAAAAGTTATCAAAGATGTTATTAAAGTGTAAAAACATGTTATTAAATGTATATAATTTAAAGAAAACATGAAACAAAAATTTAATCAAAATTTAAGAATTCAACAGCTTTTTTAAAAGTAAAATTTTCTTTCAGTGCTTTTCTGCTACTTGTATTTTCTTTTATATATTATGCAGAATAGGTTTCAGAATTTTCAAATAAATTAGGAAGTAGATAATTTAAAAACTAAAACTTGTCAATCCATTTTATCATGTCCAATAGTGTTCAGTAAAATAAATTTCTAACTCAAAGTTGTTTCCAGCATTAACTAATAATTATAAAATTAAGTTTGTAATGATATAATAATTGCAAAATATATTTAGCTGTAAATAACTAATTGGTATTTTAATTATAGTATATTTAGCTGTAATGATATAACAGTCCTCTGCGAAATTAAAATCTAATAATTAAAAAATACGTCCATTAAAAACTTCTCTTTCATTATTTTAACTAATTCCCTGTGTGCATCTGAAAATGTCACCACTATGGAGTTTATTCATACGATGCAAGGTCCATACCTCGAGCCTGGTAAAGGCACCAATATCCGTCCCATACTCCATGGTGACGTCAGTGGAACCACTGGTACCTCCAGTACTGGACTTGTAAGTGTACTTGGTAGTCTTCACGGTGGTGGTCATGATTTATCAATCTACTCCCTCAGTGAAAAGCGCAGAAAACTTAAAATCAAGCGAGCTGAACAATCTTATATCGGAAACTGTCGAAGAGTTCCAAATCGCCCACAGTGCGGCGAGTTGCACACCCTGTTCCTCTCTTAGTCGGATGAATTTGAAATCCAGAGACACAGGTTAGAACGTGATGAAGGAAAACTTTCGGGGGAGACAGACACAAGTTCCCGATCGGGACAGCCCACAGTGGAGGTGGGAGGGTTGCATCTGCCTCATGGGATAGGAACCTGCTAAGCGGGGCGGTGCAGCAAGTGAAGTCAGATGTATTTTTAGGTCGGTGCCCTCCAAGTTGGGGATCTTCTCCTTAACCAGGAAGGCATTTCACTGAAGATGGTTATCAGGATAGATTATGCTTTCCGGTATATCTCAGTAGTTACACGGATTAGATATTAACATTCCGTAAATTCTTCCAAATTTCTCCGTTTGGGGGGCTAAAATGTATAAAATAAAACAGAAAAAAACTCTTGAAAGAAATCGCATGGCTTTATTAAATGTACCAAAAAGTTTTTAAAAAAATTCTTGGCTGAAGAATATTGGCCAAATAAGATTAAAAAATAAAACTGTGAAGCCGCTAACATGGAAGGGCATTAATTCAAAACTATGAAAAATAAATCTGAATGAATTGAATGTAATCAAACTGTTAAGAACACTGGTAAAAGGTGAGGACAAAAATACTTTTACGAATAAAGCGAAAGTATGATTTAAAACAAGCTCTAACAAAATAAAACTTCATAACAGATAACTTCATAGACAAGCCCTCTCAACCAGATGTAGGCAAATGTACATTTAATTAGGACACTTGAATAAAATCAAATAATTGTAGAATTTACAATTCCCTTTATCATTAAATATTGCAAACGATCTAATATTTATCGCATTTTACCTCATCTATAGTTTCTATAATTTAATCAAAATCTTTAAACTCTAATATTGTAATTCTTTTATAAATTAACCACCGAAAGCTTTTGATTTGTAAATATTCTCTTTTTTTATAGCTGATTTTTAATCCCTGCTAATCTGCATTAATATGATTTTATGACAATAAAAATAGGGACGAAATTATGTATCCTAAAGTAAATAGTAGTTAAATGTATATATATTTAATGTGATTTCACGGCAGTTCATTATTCATGTGAATCGTTAGGTTATATCGATGCATGAAAATGTGCAGTGTCCTCCGCGAGATTCGAACTTCCGAATACGTGCCGAGCATGCTTCCAGTCACACTAAGAAGGCATGCTGAAAGGAGGGAGAAGCTGTATTATATTATCCTTTTTTAAAGGGCAACTGAAAATTAAGGGAACCAATTGCCAAATTTTGATGATTACGAATTATCGCCCACCACCTTTCAGTTCGTGTGCACTGTAGAGTCCTTTTTCGTTTCCTTTTTTTAAAATTTTTTTATAACTCAGGAAACTGAAAAAAAATCCACATTGCCCTTGCCGAGATTCAAACGCCGGACCTCTTGTATACGCGCCGAACATCTTTCCAGTTACACCCCGAAGGCTGAAGGAAAGGAAAGAGAAAATCCTTTACAGATGATCCGCTAATTAATTTGTTTATTAAGAAACAACAGTGCTGAGTTAGTATTAGATACCGTATTGCTCCCTTTTTTAACTAGTTTTATCTTTCGAAAATTGAGAGGGGATAAGCATTCGAGTAATTTAATTTCCGAAAAAATGCGGTTACGGTAAGAATATAACAAACGGAATAGTTGTATATAAACTACTGTTAACCACGACAGCATTATTTTTAAAAGAAATTACAGTCCATGTAGAATTTAAGAATACTAACTAATAATATTTAAGAATACATATCAATATTAACATTATGAAATCTGATGGATAATGAGCCGATATCTGACGCTAATTGAGCGTGTGTCTGGTTTAATTCCCATGCAAAAACCATAGGAACACATCACTCAGTGAGTCCTGACTGCAGTTTCCAAGAGGATGGAAATTTCCTTAGAGATATTCCTACAAGCATTCACAATATCATGCAGTAATAATTAGTAGTTATACTTAAATAACTAAAAATGTTACTACTAAAGGAAACTACTAAAATGTTAAACACAACTCAATGCAAAGCGCATCTAAAGAGAAAGCTAACTCAGATATATCTGAGTTCATGCGGAACTAACATCTCGCGCAATAATAAGTAAGCTACTGAGAGCATATGCCTCAACCGGCGGCCAAGATATTTCTAGTACCTTTCTGTTTCTCAAAAATACTGCAATGTAATAAGGGTGTGTAATTACTGTTACAGCTAACATAGTGGTCAATTACATTCATTCAATTTCAATGCATATTAAAGAGATACCCATTTATTAAATGCACGTGCCCCTATATTCTTACTTTTCCTCCATAGTTTTTTCTTAAACTTTGTCTCGCGCTACATTACACAGAAAAATACAATAATTTGTGATTATAATTCTTATAAAATTACCTATCTAAATACAAAATTCGTAACAATACGCTTCAAATAATAAATGTAACAAAAATTAAATGGATGAAATACTAATACAAAACTGCAAATAAAAATTGATTTAATAAAAATGAAAAAAAAAATACAATAAATAAAACAATCACTTCTAATCACAAATAAAACAATCACTGAATAAAAATTAAAATTATCAAGGGAATACAATTTACCTATAAACAAGTCGTCAGAGTGAAAAGCTGTGTGCAGTTGAAAATTATGAGAATATTTTAAAATTTTTCAGAATCTAGTGTTAAAACGCTATGGGAGGGGAATACGCGAGGGAACACGATATTAATAAGCAATAATTCACAAATCGAGAACAATATTCTATTTAATTTTTATTACGTAAGATTCAGATTTTATTACATACGGATAACCCCCAGACATTTTTGAAGTTTGGTATATTTTATTTTAGTAAATCTTAAATTTCTAACAGTCATGAAAACTAATATGTGATTTTAATTATATTGTTGACAGTATGAAGAAATTTGTTTTATATTTCAATAAAATGGAATATTCTATAACAATATGGAACATTCTACTAATGTAAGTGATCCTAACTTTCTTGCACCGTTTAACTAATTTAACGAATCATATTATTTAATAAGGTTGTAGCGATTTATTTATATTTTGATCTCTAGCCCGAGGCTGTCTATCGGAAATTCTAAAAATATGCTGAAAAAAAAAACTTACTTTTGGGGGTAATATAAAATCTGAAAACGTTTAGTACTTTTTATTTCTTTTATTACCGGAATGTTAAATGCAATTTTCTGTAAGCTATGAATTGGATGGTACATATGATAGAAAAAATGATTGGATTTCCAGATGTTTATTTTGAACGTTAAGAAAGTATTGAACAATGCCTGTAATTAAAAATAAAATCACTATTAGATTTTCAAATACATTTTCTTAAATTAGTTATTTTTTTGTAATTAAACTATATTTCGCTGCGAATTATTGTTGTATTCGAACTTAATCCTAAAATCCCGATATGTATGTGGTCGAGAATAGGGAATGACGTATATAAAATGTCTGATGCATAAGCTTATACATAGCTGCTTCTAAACTAACCTGACGGTAGTTGTAACAACAAAAATAAAATGGAAGTATCATAAATTTACATTTCGATGCTCTTTTTTTTAATTTATTTCATATTCTAAAGGTTCTTGTAGCTATTTTAGTGTTAAACTCCTTTGATGCTTTAGTTTAGTTTAGATAATTATACGATGCAAATTAATGAAATTTCTTTAAATTTACTTTATATAAGAGATATATTATATTTAAAAGAATCTAAATAATAAAAAATCTGCATGAATGTATGCATATTTTGAATAACGTAGTCCTCCAACCGAACATGGGCACCTGAAGCTCGAACATGGAATTTCCAATTTCTCTTATTGTGTATTTCATATTTTGTAAAATTTTAACGAATTTTTTATTAAAAAACTCAACGCTTTATAGAAACAATAGTTTTTTTTTTTTTTTTTTTTTTTTTTTTTTTTTTTTTTCTTAAAAGCAGGAGAGATGAAAAATGAGCACCGCCCTCGCCGGGACTCGAACCACGAACATCTCGAATACGCACCGAGCATGCTTACCACTACACCACGAAGGCATGCTAAGAAGGCGTAAGAAATACCTTATATATCCCCTCCTTTTAAAGGGCGACTGAGAATTAGAGGCCACAATCGCCAAATCTTGATGGTGGAGAAACATCGTTCATCACCCTTTTTAGTTCGGGCGTCACTGTAGAGACCTTACATATTTTTTTAGTTAGGAGAGGTGAAAAATGAGCAATGCACTGGACTCGAACCACGGACCTCTCGAATACGGCCCGAGTGTGCTGACCACTACAGCACGAAGGCATGCTAAGAAGGTGGAAGAAATACCTTATAGCTTTCAAAGTGACAATAGGGAATAAGAAAATTTTTATCTTCAGCGCGACAATGTCTATCGAAAATTCTAAAGATATGCTGCTTTTAAATAATTTTAGCCCAATGTGACGTTAGCCCAAATGGTCTCGAAACGTGTTTGTGTCTGTAAATGAAAAAAACTCTCATTTGGGCTTATAAATAAATATAAAATCTGAAAGCTTTCAGATTTTTTCTAATTTATGTTTTATTCATATACCGTATTCCCTAGTGTATATTTTCCCCTTAGCTTTTTAAAATTAGGTCTGAAAGTTTTAAAATAATTCGCATAATTTCCCCGTGTTTCTATTGTGCATAGTTTTTACTTTTAAGGACTAGTTTATTAGTAAATTGTATTCTTGATTATTTTTATTTTTATTCAGTGTATTCATTTGTATTGGCATTTTATTTTTCCTTGCATTTAGTATTTCAAATGTAATTTTTCCAGATTTTTCGTTAAGCCACCCGGAATTGGCAGGTGTTTTTACACTTGAGAAATTTTTCAAACATGTGATTTCACCTTCCTTCTATTATTTACGTTCCAGCTCATTATTCTCTCATTGTATCCGAGTATCTATTACTCATATGTTCGATCTTTCGAAAACCGAATCTTTTTTCGCTTCCTTCTCCTTCGCTCCTTCGATGCGTTGCTTGGGAATTGCGATCAGTACTCATTTATGTGAGATGCTCCTTGGACTTTACGAGGTAAATGAATAGGATGAGCCTCAATTATCATAAAATATCTTTTCAATATGCGTCAAATGTA